AGTTATCTGGCATCAAAGAACAAAAAATCATATCATTGTGTGCTCACCTCCATGATACGATCACTGAAGACAAATGGCTGCATAAGCCAACTTGACTCATTTTTTGACTCCATCTTTGAACCGCAATGGGAATACATGCTGCTTTCTCATGCCATCCTAGTCCTGCCTGAAAGCCCTATTCCCTTTTGGGGAAAGGATCAGATTTCCAAATTTCAGACAGCTACCCAGAGAAGGACTCTCCAGAAGAGCTGGAGCCTCAGTCTCAATACTCTTGTGCACCAATAGAGGATTTTAATACTTTTGTTTCGCAAAGACTCTTCTGACACAGGGAAAGAAAGCCTTGTAATTGACTGAAGGTACAGGTAAACACCCCATTTTTTTGGTGGGGAGGCAGTTTTTTTTGTTTGTTTGATTATTCCTCTTTATTTGTTTATTAGTCTTTGCTATGTAAAGAATTTGATTTTGTTTTCTGTTGCTCTTAGTCATGGGAGAATTGTCTGGCTAGTTGCCATCTTTGGGTCCCCTTGAAACAAGAGTTTGCGACTTTAGTATGATCAGTCCCACAAGGAGGATATTTGACATTTTGCTGGATATGTCACCCCTCATTTCCAATGTGGAAGATCTCCCAGTCCATTGGAGCCAATCTCTACATTTAAACACCACAATAACTTCCTTAACCATTAGTGCTACCAGGGATTGGCCCTTTCTCTGTGCTTACCTCTTAATTCTCTTTAACCAGCCATAGTTAGGGGAACATTGAAAGACAGTGAGTGCATATGACTGGTGGTGGCCATCTGGGAAAAATAAGCAGTATCTATAATTTTGATCAGTGTCAAGTCCTTTCTTTTCTTCAAAATTTTAAAAAATGCTTTAAAAATCAGAATATTAAGGAGAAATTCATATATCTCAAGAAGTACTTAAATTTTAATTCCCAGATTTATGCATGTGAACATATGGTGACATTTAAACATACAATTAGAGCTCTTCATTATATTTTGCCAAGTTTCCATCATTATAGTTATTTCTGAACATAAGTTAAATGGTTTGAAGCAAGCCTGTAATATGCCCAAGCAACACCTACCTCTCTCATACATGCAAATCTCCCAGGTAACTGTGGGTTTGCTTTGACTTCTGAGTAATCTGACTCCGGAAGTCCCTGCTCTGGAGTTTACCAAGGTCCCAAAATAAATTCTTTTGCTTCGTTTTGTTTTTACTATACACACATACTTAAGATGGCTAAACAGAAGGGACTGCAATTCTAGAAGTGTAAGACCTCAAGAAGCATTACATTGTGATAAATCCTTTTTATAAAGACATTTCCAGCACAGTTACTACAGGCTAAACTATGAAGGGCTACGTCCCCAAAACCAGAATTTAACTGGGTGGAGTGGAGCTTTGATAGTAAAGTTTTTTCCTACTAGGCAAGCAACTGGCTCTGAGTAATGCACCCAGTGGCATCACCTGGGAAGGCACTCTCTGATCACAGTGAATTTTTCTGTTAAAGCAGTTTCACCTGCACCTCATTTTTTCTGATATCCTATTTAAGAAAACAGTTTACAGCTGTAAATTTTTGTTTCCCGCTCCGGAAAAACCACAGAAACTGTTGTGATTTTGAAAACAGCATACAAGCACAGCACTATGGGGAAAACTCAAGTTTTTTATTGTTTTTCTTGTTTCAAAAAAGGTAACAAGATGTCGATTGATGACAAACCTTGGTCTGTACTTTGGTCAACTTTCTAAACAGACTAAAATGTCAGCTTGTAGTGCATTTGCAGTCTGTTCCACCAGTTCAGACTGTTAATCAAGCTTTCTATTTAGAGGTTCTGAAAAGATAGCATAACAGTGTGTGACAAAAAAGGGCCTGATTTGTGGCAGAAGGGGGACTGGTTTTGCCACTATGACAAGGCATCTGTTCACACAGCCATCTCAGTTCCCCAGTTTTGGGTAAGCAGCATGCCTCTTTTGGCCCATGAAGCTTACTCACCTGACCTCGCTCTGTGGGACTTATTTTTTGTTTCCACAAATGAAGAGGGACATGAAAGGACCCCAATTTGAAGCTGGAGAAGAGGTGAAGAAAAAAAACAAGGGAGTGGTGTCAGCAATCCAAACAGATGAGTTTGAGAAATGTTTCTAAAAATGGAATCACATATTTGACAAATGTATTAAGTGTAATGGAGAGTACTTTGAAGGTGATAATGTTGTTTGGTTAAAAAATAAATAAATACATAGCTTTGAAAAAAATCTGGTTTTTTGGAGGTACCCTCATATATATTTGCTATCTTCAACATAACAATTGAAGCAATAGAATAAATGCAGAGGCACCACAGTGGATCCCACAAAACACAAAATATTATGTAAATCAACACTCCTCTACATCTTAAGATTTTCTTTTGGTTGTGAGTTAAATACAGTTTAAATTTCATAGCTTAATACTTAAGGCTTATACACTGAAGTGAATATATTGATGCCTAGCTTGGGGCTAAGCTCCTCCATGTGCAAAGCTGAGAACAATCACAGGTTTGGCCCAACAAACATTTTTTCCCCTCCTTCTTTTAAACGAAAAGAAAGTGTCATGAGTACTAAACTTCATCTGGCATATTGAAGTCATCATACTTACAGGGAAAAGTCTGAGCTTTCATATTTGAGTTTATTCTTCATTTAACTTTAAACCATTACTATAGTTGAATACTAGAACAAAAACCATGGCATGCAGTGAATATATAATGATTACAGTCTGAGTTAGTTAATTGTGCCAGCCTGGCCGATAATCACGTGTGGTGCTGATTGAAAGGTGGAGGGATAAATGGGTGGTGAAGCCTCGCCT